TAATTTTTACAATATTTCCCCTCGACATTTCTGATATTTCCGACATATGTCCTATATTTTGGTAAGCGACATTTCCATCGACACCGACACTTTAAACCTTGCCCATGAGAAACGAGTGTAGTCATCAACAAATAGCAGAAAATATTCGTATCCCCCCATGGCAGTGATGTGATATGGTCCCCAAACATCAGTATGCACAATCTAAAAAGGAATACTACTTTTATTGCTCAAAGAATAGGTTGTTCTACAATGCTTTGCAAGTTCACAACTTTTACACTTTAACTAGACACTTGGCCTGACTCAAACAAACTAGGAAATAAACTCTTCAAAGACCTAACTGATTATGCCAGAGCATAACCTGACTCACAGACTGAGAAACTAATGACCTCCCCACTTCTTATCTTCCCCATGTGAATGCCCTCCAAGAAGGTAATTCCATTCGTCTCATGACCAATATTAATCACCTTCCTTGTCTCCAGATCCTAAAAAACACACCGATATGGAAAGAAAGTCATTGAGCAGTTCTGATTTTTCAGTAATGCTAGTAACTGAAAGCAGGTTAGTACTAAGTTTAGGAACATGCAAAACTGAGGACAAGGAGATGGCATTAGATAGTCTAATGTCTCCCTTGCCAGAGATGGGAACAAGGGAGCTACCAACAATAGACACTTTGTCTTTGCCAGAGGATAAGCAATAGTAGTAGTGAGATGGGGTCACATTCATCAGAAATTCCATTACCTATTCCAATCCCTTCTGGCAGAGACAAAGTGTCTATTGTTGATAGTTCCCTTGTTCCCGTCTCTGGCAAGGGAGACATTAGACTGTCTAATGCCATCTCCTTGTCCTCAGTTTTGCATGTTCCTAAACTTAGTACTAACTTGCTTTCAGTTAGTAGCATTACTAACTGTTCCATGAACCTATTTGCTAATGTTGTTCATTCATTCATTCTAATAAGATACCTTCTTAAAAGAAAATTAAAGTTATAAAATCATTATTTTTCATGTGAGAAATAAGAATTTTCAGACCCTAACATAGACTTGTTCGGGCTTGCCTCAAGGGGCATGGTACAAAGGCGACTCATAGAATCAAGAATGTTATATGTTTTACATCACATTAGCTACTTCAAGCAATGCAATTAAGGAAAAAACAGAGATTGTGGGTTTTACATGCTTGAAAATGCTTTATATGTTTGCTTTTATTTTTAAATTTCATTTGAATATGCTTTACATATTATGTTTATGTATTTTAATTTTAGATAATTGGTTTTCTAAAACATTTATTTTAAAATTTATGTTTATATTTTTTATTAACACTATGTTTAATATTTTTTGAATTTTTGCATTTTTAAATTTTTTTTAGCATTCTTGTTTGAATTTTCTGACTTTTTTTATCTTTTTCTTGTAGTTTTGCGCCTTTCTTAAAAAGGTGTGTGCCTCACCTTGCGCCTTGCACCTCAAGCGCAAATTGGCCCTTGTGCCTTTTTTGCGCCTTGCGCTTTTAAAACACTGGTGTAGTCATCAACAAACAACAAAAAAATATCTGTATCCCCCCATAGTAGTATTGTGATATGGTCCCTAAACATCAATATGCACAATTTCAAAAGGAATATTACTTTTATTGCTCAAAGAATAGGCTGTTCTATAATGCTTTGCAAGTTCACAACTTTCGCGTTTTAAACTAGACATTTGAACTGACTCAAACAAACTGGGAAATAAACTCTTCAAAGACCTAAATGACAAATGACCTAACCGATTATGCCAAAGCATAACCTGGCTCACAGATTGAGAAACTAATGACATCCCCACTTCTTTATCTTCCCCATGTGAATGCCCTCCAAACAGGTAGATTCCATTCGTCTTACGATCAATCCCAATCACCTTCCTTGTCTCCAGATCCTAAAAAACACACCGATCAAGAAAGAAAGTCATTGAACATTTTTAGTGATGCTACTAACTAAAAGCAGGTTAGTACTAAGTTTAGGAACATGCAAAACTGAGGACAATGAGATGGCATTAGACAATCTAATGTCTCCCTTGCCAGAGGATAAGCAATAAGTGGTAAACAATGAGGATAAACCAGTCATATGGTCAGATGCACCTAAATCTATAATCCAACAAGGTTCATTGTTACTTGGGGCTGAACCATGATATGCTGAAGCTCTTGTACCTGAATGAGCAAATGCTGAAGTGGGAGTAGCAAATGTTGTAGTTGGTAGCTGAGATGAGGGGGCTGAAGTGCCAACTTCACTTTCCAACTGAGTTAGAGCAGCTCGGACAGCAGCTAAAGTGTTTAGAGGTGTGGCTCTTGTGCTCGAGGATGATACACCATCAATAGTAATTGCTACATTGGCATTCCCCTTTTTGTTCCTAAGCTTTCCTAGCTGGTCTAAATCTAGAATATGATATTGTGAGGCAACTCCTCACCAAGGAGAGTGTGAGGATGATACACCACCAATAGTAATTGCTACATTGGCATTCCCCTTTTTGTTCCTGAGCTTTGCTAGAATTAGATGTGGATACAACTTCCAACAAGTATCACCGGCATGCTTCGGTTTCTTGCAATGATCGCACACTACCTCCCTCTTGTCTTCTTTCTTCATATCCATTTCCTTGTCACCCCCAAACTTTGGTTTCATTATTGTTAGGGTTGATTCCATGGGTTGATATTGTAGCATAACCTTTCTCCTACTTTCTTCACTGTGCACTAGGGAATAGGCCTGAGACAAGGTCAACCTCTCCTTGGTGAGGAGTTGTTGCCTCACAATATCATATTCTAGATTCAGACCAGCTAGGTATTCAAAAACTCTATTGGTTTTTTATTTGTATGTGCATCCTTCTGACTTTCCCATTCAATTGGCTCTAGGTGATCAATTTCATACCACAAAGACTTTAAAGTGGAGAAGTAAACTGAGACTGGTTTCTCTCCTTGCTTAAGATTACTGACTTCACATTTCATCTCATAGGCCCTAGCAACATTAATTTGCTAGGAGTAGGTTTCTCTCATGATGTCCCAAATTTCCTTAGCAGCTTTGGCCCACAAGTAATTTTGGCTGATATGAGGCTGCATGGAATTGCACAGCCAAGTCATGACCAAATAGTTCTCCTGAACCCATTTGGCATATGTGGGTCTTCCTTGGCTGGTTTCTTTACATTCTCCATCACATAGCCTAATTTCCCTCTACCCCCAATAGCCATCATAGCTAACTAAGCCCATTCCAAGTAATTTGATCCATCAAATTTGATAGTGGTAATCTGAAAAGTATTTTTAGTCATGTTTCCAGCCCCCAAAACACCTTCCCCTTGAGTCTTTAACTCAGTTCCTGTCATCTCTATTAAGAAATTAATCAAAAAGAACTCCTTTTATGCTAAAACAGAGTAATTATCACACAGAAATTGCTAACAGCCCACTTGGAGTGCTGAAAAAGGTCTAGCAAACACCTAGAAATGTTGAAACAGATCTAATAATCTCCCAAAGATTATTATCAATCAATCTGGAATGCTAAAACAGATCTAACTGTTACCCAGAAACCAATAATAGTTAGAATGCTAGGGTTTAAATTAGAGAACTGATCGTAGTTTTGGGAAAACCCTAAAAAAAATCAAAGAAATTAGGAAAAAACCCAGCCACTCCTTCCACACCACTATCAGTTTCTGATTTCTGTCGATCTCAAAGGAAAACTGAAACTTACCTAGAACAGGCTGGCCGCCACTTCCAATCCTTAGTCTGAACCCTAATCATGAATTTCTTTCCTTCCCTCTACTTCTTCCTGATCACCAGAGACTTTCCAAGGCTCTACAATCCCTTGAAGAGCTGCCGCACTCTACCAGTAATCTCCAGGAACCAGCCGATGGACCATTCTTGCTAAAACTTCCAACCCTAGGAAGTTCTCATGCAGTTGGCCTGATTAGACTCACATGGGAAACCCTAGGTTGACTCTGATACCAACTTGTCTTGTAGAGACTGTAATCAGTCCTACTCTAGATGAGAATTCAATAAGAAAAGCTCAGAGAATAGAAGAGGAAGAGAGAGAGAGGAGAAGAAGAAGAAGAAGAAGAAGAGAGAAATTGAAGAGAGGAGAATTCAGAAAAGAATGAGGGTCAATTAACATTGCCGCCCCACTCAGCTATTTATATTAATAGCTTAAAACATAGTAAACTTGCAATATTGCCCTACTGTTAACACAAATAAACAGCAGCTGAAAAATAACTGAAATAACTAACTTACTGACAGTACTAACATGATAACAGCAACATAAATAATATGCTAACAGCAACATAAATAACATGCTAACTAACTCTACACATAATATCAGTTGAAACAAGAAAGAGTGCCGACTAAAACATTTAAAAAGAAACATAGTAGAGAAAGAAGATTTCTTGCATCAAAAATAATAAAAAAGAATAGGTTCTCTTAAAACTTTAAGAAAAACCAACATGCCAAAACAAAAGCATTTGATGCCTCAAATAAGCATAAATCAATTTTGTATTTTTTGTGATAAAAGATGAATTACCTTAAGGTTACAGCTCTGATTTGTTTAAGTATTGTTTTTATGTTATGAATATCAGACATGTATCTTCCTATTTTAAATTGTTAATTTAGTTGCATAATGGGTCCCAAGTGTGTAGTGATGCTTATTCTATCTTTTCTCTAAAAGTATATTGTAAATCCCAATATTTTCATAGTTCTCTTATGGTTTCTATGCTTTTATGATGTTTCTGTGCCATTGCCATAAACTTCCATGACTTTGTTCACTTCAACATGAACCAAAGTTTAAAATCATGCACAGAAGGAATCAAAAGACCTTTAGTAAGCACTTCACAATAACTAAATAAGAAATTCCTCCAGTGCAGTTGTACTACTCTCAAATACATCTAATGTATGTTGACCCCATTTTTCCCTTTAGTATAACACTAACAATTGCATGCAGCAAATAAATCTATTAAATTGATAGAAGTTGCTAATGGCCATGAAATTAAATGAAGTGTTTGTATAAACTTTACCAACTTCTCTACAGTGCCCTTGAATGCATTTCCTTCAGCAGCAATAGTTGAATCAACTGCCAAAGTTGACTGACAATTCTTCTTAAGAAGCCCAAGTGTACGGTTAAGAAGATTTCCTGCAAAATGTAAGCCAATGAATGTTGTAAAGCAATGCCTACATATCTTAAAACAACAACATAAAATTATTTGTCCTCTTAAAACAGGCATTAAGCGTTAAGGACAAACCAATTGATCTAGCAGCATACTTGACATTTATAGAATTTCCAATGCATCGCAAATTTAAGAATACACTTGAAAATGTCCATAAATTTCTTAATATTTCCATGGTGTATTTTCATTTCCATGGGTGCCAACACGAAATATTACTGAAACAACATATTTCCCAATGAAAGCTACTAGTGCTATGTGGACTACAAGAGATAATATTTTTGATAAGTAAATTAAGATTTCATTAATAGAAGAATAAAACAGTTACAAGCTTCCCATGGAGAGGCGCGACCTGCATCCTCACCTAACATCAGGAAAAAAGGAAGAAATAGAAAACAGATTCAGTTTACAGTTGAATCCAATACAATCTTTCCCTATTTACCCCTTGCTTTGCAAGACCATCAGCCATAGCGTTTGCTGATCTCCCCACCCATTGTATTCTCACTGTCAAGCTCCTTATTAGCCAATTGAATTTTTTAATTTCATTCTTAAAGCACCACACTATAGAATCTGGGTTTTGTAGCCAACCCACTACCACTTTGGAGTCCCCTTCTATTAGCAACTGTTCCACACCTGATGCAGGAGCTGAAGAGTCAAAATTGGAATTTTAGGATATTTTATGTATTTCTGTATTTTTGGACAATAAGGGTATTTTTGTCACTTTTGCAATTTTCTGTGGGGTCTAATAATAGGTTTGGTTGTCTAGTTATAGTTTGTTTGTGTTTAAAATTTCAGAGTCATTGCATAAGTAGCATTAGAGTTATTGAATCTTCTTTGAATTGAAATAGGATAAGGACAGCTTAGTTTGAGTCCAACTAGGATTATTGAGTCTTAACAGTTTGACTCCTAAGACTTTTATGAGTCTAACAGTTTGACTCCTAGGATTACTATGAGTTAGAGTCTATAAATATGTATGGACGTTTTACACAACGGCAATGAAGTTTATTAAGTTTTCTTCAGCCTTTGCTAGCTATGGTGAGTGATTCCCACCATTCAACATTCTCCAAGGACTAGAACTGAGCTGGTCCTATATCAACACCTATCTGCACTGCTAGTTGTATTCCCAAACTCATTCCTTAGTACCCCTCCCACCCCTGACCGACCTGGATTTCCAAGACTACTACCATCAAAATTCAGCTTCAAGAAGCCTTTAGGGGGGGGKGGGGGGGTCCAAACCCATACTCTAGAACAATTTGCCACTGTTAACCAATTCCTCCAAATATCATTAAATGAGAATTGATGGAATAGGTCCAATGATTTTAGCCACAAGATCACCCTATTTAGGATGCACTCCTTCAGCTCTTCTAGGCTTCTCTCCTTCTCTTGGAAAATTCTGGTATTTCCCTCTTCCCACACTGACCAAATCAGTTGGTAACAGTTGAAAAACAGTCCTTGATGTATGGAACTACTTGAGATTAGATGCAAACCAGAAAATAAACAAACAAGAGAGGAAGAAGAGAGAGAGAGTTGGCGCAATGAGGGTCAGAGAGTAAGAGGTTCGAACTTAACGTCCCTCTAACACTCTAAACATTTTATTAAGAAGTTAATCTTTGAAATATTACAGAGAGGCCCTTGAGTGAGCAAGAAAATACAAAAAACAGAACATTACAGAGTATGGGCCCAGAATAAGGCCCATTACAGAGGGAAACACAACATAACATGAAATGACAGTCTATGGGCCATTCGGCCCATCTCCTCTACACTCCCCCTCAAGTTGAGCATAGATGTTAATCATGCCCAGCTTGCCAATGTCATGTTGAAGCCTTGCCTTGGAAATGCCCTTGGTGAGGAAATCTGCCAATTGTCCTTCAGAAATAATGAGTGGAAGACACACTTCACCGGAGGAGACTCTTTCTCGAATAAAGTGTCTATCAACCTCAATATGTTTGGTTCTATCATGYTGTAYYGGGTTGTGAGCAATGTTGATGGCRDCYTRATTATCACAGTACAACATCATGGGTTTGTCATGATCAATCCCAAGTTCTT